ATTGAGGAAAAATGTCCTGTCTGTCCACATTTTATGGCCTCTTCAGTCCTCAAACCCCGTCACTGGTTATAAGTCTTCAGTAGCTTCCTCCCCCTTGCTTAGAGAGCCCTGTTTGCGTGGAGAGCATCCATGAACACCCCAAACCCTGCATGCTGCAGCCAGACCACGGACCTTCACCCTTGTACCGTCATCCCGGGAACATGAAGAGAGGAGAGCATGAGGCTCACCTGCCCTCTAGGCCTAAGCCTTCCTTACTTCTCTGAGAATCTGCCTAGATGCTCTGAAAACAGACGGCCGACTGTGAAAAGCCTGAGGCAAGAGTACACAGGAGAGAAGCCCTTCAGCAGGGCCAAGGCCAGTCACCACTTCTGACTCTTAGCCTGGCCTGAAGAAGGCCCCTTTTTAAACTTGGCGTCAGCTCTAATGAAATGGCTCAAGGCACTTGTCACCAAGCTTGAGGACCTGGGTTCAATCTCCAGGACCTATAAGGTGGAAGGAGAGAACTAATTCTTACGAGCTGTCCCCTGACTTCCTCTTGTGAACCACGACACAGAAGCATAAACCCACAGGCACCACCAAATAAACAAATAAACAAATAAATAAATTTAAACTTAGCGTTAAAAAAAAAAAAAAAAACACCATAGGTTCTATCTCTAGCATAAACAACAACAACTTGGTTTTGGGAGACAGGGTTTCTCTGTGTAGTCCTGTCTGCCCTGGAACTCATTCTGTAGACCAGGCAGTCCTCGAACTCACAGAGATCCACCTGCCTCTGCTGCCCCAGTGCTGAAGTAAAGGTAGGCATCATCATTACTCGACTCAACAACTTAAAACAACAACTTAAAAAAAAAAAAAAAAACCTTTGAAAAAGAAAAGCGGGGGTCACAAGGCCTGAAGTTTTACCACGTAAGCTCAAGCTTCCACCTGGTTGGTTGCTAACTCTACCCTACAGTGTTGCCTTCAGGCCCCAGGCAGTAAGGCAAGAGTCGGCCAAAACCTCCCTGCCAGGCTCCTCCCCTTGGGTCTCCTTGCCAGCTCACCCTAGAGTGCTGTCCAAATATCTTCTATGTGTGCTGAAAGATGACACATGGACCTAGGATTTCACAAGGCCATTCCCTTTTGGCTCCTGGGCTGGGGCATTTGTTGGCATTGGCTTCAGGCTGGAAGCTTGCAGCTTTTGCCCACCCAGGATGCACCACTCATCAGGAACAGGACTTGAATGCCTCGAGGTGGGCAATTCAGCTCAAGATCTTGTTGTTTCGTGTGTGAGCTGGTGGCAAGTAGCCCAGCTTAAGACGCTCTGACCGTTCTTCCTGGAACACGAGCAGGAAGCAGAAAACCATGAAAAAACGAGAATGAGTTCTTCCAATCAAGAATATGTTGAGCGGGCAAGCTAGTCACCTTCTCGTTTGGATCCGCTTAGCTGCCTGGTTCTCATCTTTCCTGACACCTGGGAACTACCGTTTCATGAAGTAAATTCAGCTTCTCTCCCTAACTTTCCTCATTCTTCCAAAAGTTAGCTCAAGAGTCTTCTTCTGTTGCTTGCAACCTGCCCCCGACAACTGCTGCCTCCCACTAACCTCACCTATGTCATTGCCACCTCTAACTTGGCTATAAAGTACCATAAGTATCATAAGGTAATTGAGCTACAGAGACATTAATATACTTTCCCAAAATTACACAACTAATGAGCATCACGGTCAGAATTTGAACCCAAGTTTTGGTTAAAAGGCCGGCTCGTGGGAGTGATGGTTTGTTACACAACCAAGCTGAGTTCAAAGGTTTGCCTGCCTATGTTCGACAGAAAACCCCAGCCATGTTATTGTCAGAACTGCAAATGACTCTAAACGAGAAAAAATCGGGAACAGCAACGCTGCCTTCTCTGAGGTCTCTGGGGTACCATAACCCGAAGGGCTGACAGTTTGGCTGCCCTAAGAGTACAAATTACACACACATAGTGAAGGAAACAGTAACTGACACCTGCTCTAGTCCAAAGATTGCTGCTTCTGTGTAGATTCAGATAGAATCTCAAATGCTCTCTGCCCATCTCTCTCACAACACACACACACACACACACACACACACACACACTTGGAGGTCAAAGGACAATCTCTCCCTAAACCATGTAGGTCTCAGGAGTCAAACTCAGGTTGTCAGCTCGAGCCGCAGGAGCCTTTACCCAATGAGTCATCTCAGTGGTTCCCATATCAGGTTTTAAAACCTGGACATTTCTTCATGTTTAGTCTATGAAATGCCGACCAGGAAATTCAGATGCCCTTGGGGGGAGGGGGAAGAGCATGGGGCAGACATAAATACTCACTCTAAATCTCCAGTGCCTGCCTTTGCAGAAGAAATAGAGCCAGGCGCGGAGACGCCGCCCTGTTTATTCAGAGCTCTCTCTGAGGCTCGGCTGAGGCTGCGTAGCAAGCCACAGGCTAAGCAGAACCTGGGAACTCTGGGATGGGCACTGGTGGCGAGGCTGTAGAACCTGGAAAAAGAGAACAGGTTTCTCAGGCAGCTTTTATTCCTGTTCCACCTTCTTCCTCCTTTTGGCTTTTCTACTTGATTATCTCACCATCCATGTTAGGATTTACAAGACAGGCTTTCCCAGGCTCTGGTCATTGACTTAACCCTGAGGTATGACTTATATAAAATACTCTACACACACACACACACACACACACACACACACACACACGTTTCCTGTGGAACCCAGGTTCTCCTGGTTTGCTAGGCAAGTGCTCTAACCACTGAGCTCCACTCTCAGCCTTGTCATCTCCCTACCTTCTCCTCTGTTGCATTATATTATTATTGTTGTTGTTATTATTATTATTATTATTATTATTATTATTATTATTATTATTATCTATTTGCTTTTTCTCTTTGTGAGACTAGGTCTTACTTTGCAGCCCAGGCTGGCCTCCCACTTACTAAGAAGCTCACACTGTCATGAACTCAAACAATTCTCCTACTTCAGTCCCCCGCCGAGGACTGGAGTTACATGCACGAGCCATCAACCATCCAGCTTTGGCTTCATTTTTGTTTCTTTGAAATCCCATCTCTGGATGTACCCCAGGCTTTCCCTATGTATTAGCATGTTGCGCCCTCTCCAGACTGCACCAGTGAAGAAAGAATCCCAGAATCGATGAGATAGTTTTACCCTGAAACGCCATAGCATTGTGTGTTTGGGTTTTGTTTGTTTGTTTGGTTGGTTGGTTGGTTGGTTTTGATATATTTTGTTTTTGTTTTTGAGACAGGCTTTCAGTCAGTCTGTAGCCTAGGCTGAACTCAAACTTGTGTCAATACTCTTCCTTCAACTTCCTGTTAATGTTTTTAAAAAACTCTTCATGAGCCAGGCATGGTGGTACATACCTTTAGTCCTATTCCTCAGGAGGCAGAAGCAGGAGGATCTCTGTGAATTCAAGTCTAGCCTGGTCTACACAGAGAGTTCTAGGACAGCTAGACTACACAGAGAAACCCTGTCTAAAAGACAAACAAGCAGGGTCTTTTTTTTTTTTTTTTTTTTTTTTTTTTTTTTTTTTGAGACAGAGTTTCTCTGTGTAGCCCTGGCTGTCCTGGACTCACTTTGTAGACCAGGCTGGCCTCAAACTCACAGAGATCCGCCTGCCTCTGCCTCCCAGAGTGCTGGGATTGCAGGTGTATGCCACCAAGCAGTTCTAATGTCTTACAAAGTCTCCTTATGCTGCTTTGTCATTAAATTCTCTAAAGCTTCAATCCTAGGCAATTGTCGACATTTTCTTCCACCAAAATTTAGTCTTTTACAGAATGTCATCTAAATAGACTATACAGTGAGTAGGTATGCATAAAAGTATATATATTATAAAATAATATAGTCTATCATATATATGTATATGGCTGGCAAGATGGCTCAGTGAGTGAAGGTGCTTGCTGCCAAGCCTGACGACCTGAGTTCAATCCTCAAGACCCACGTCATGGAAGGAGAGAAGGGATTCCTAAAAGTTGTCCTCTGACCTCAGCACGAGCACTGTGGAACACGAATAATGAAAGTGTAAACACAGAGTCAAGTGTTTGGTCCTCCTTTCTGTACTATTTGAAATGCCTTATCAAAAGTTTGCTCCAGTCTTGGAGTTGCTCAGCCTAGAGCCCATGCTTAGCACATTTGAGGCCCTGGTTCAGTTCTCAGCTCCTCCTCACAAAAATAAATAAACGTTGGCTCAGTATCAAAAGGGTAGCACACAGAGGGGTTACAGCCCCCCCCCCCAACTCAACACCTCTCACATCAGCATACTCAGAACAAAGGCCTCTCAGAGGCCTTTGGAGAGGCCTGAGTCAGCCGGTGGTCAGTGAGAAAATGCTTGCTTGGCATGTGCATGGCCCTGAGTTCAATTCCTAGCACTAAAAACACTACAAAAATATACTTAATCCCGTCTTCCATCAGTTCTTCTGGAATTTGACTCCTTACTATTCTATTCTATTGTGACTCAGTTCTAGCTTCCCTCAGTGGACAATGCGGGGGTTAGGGGGGTTGGTGACTGCTTGATTGTGACCCGCCCAAAGAATTGAATTGTGACGCCTGGGGGTGTGGCTTAGCATGGGCAGGGTTCTGGACTTGGTCCCTAACACCAAAAGTAAAGAAAACAAATGCTTCATGACTCAGCGAACAACAAAACACAAATTTCAGGAAATAACAGCCTCCCTCCCTCAGTCCATGTGGCACTCTTGGATATCTTTTCTCTCTCTCTCTCTCTCAATGCTGATTGTGACCCACCAACTTGATTTCCTGGTCCAGCAACAAGTCACAGTCTAGTTTGCCAAAGTTTCAGCCAGTGCTTTTAATAAAGGACCCTGCTGTCCTGGGGCCTCCACTCTGAATTTGGGCAGCTCTTTCTGAGGGTGAGTGGGGGGTGTGCATGGAGCCATGTTACTGGACACTTCCTCCTTGGCTGTGGAGTTAAGTTGTCATTTTCAGGGAGTAGATCCTGGTGGTCATGGTGGGAAGGGATGGTAAGAGAGGAGACACAGATACCCTGTTCTTGGCTTAGCCGGCTAGCGGGCAGGCAACCTTTGTAGTGTTGGCATTCTGCCTCCGGAGGTGGGTCGGCCCTGCAGTGACCAGTTAGAAAGGGGCATTAGGGCTGGAGAGCAGAAGATAGAGTTGTCTGGCAGAACCTCTCAGAAGAGCTCAAGGTCAGCGCGGAAGGCTAAGGGCTGCCCAGGCAGAGGACGTCCACAGGCCCCTGTGCTGGGTGAGGGCTGGGGAAACCCCGTAGGAGATCCAGGGTAAGTGGAGGCATTGTCTCCAGAGAGCGGGGCAAAAGAGCAGGGCCTCCAGGAGGCAACATTATCATGTATGTGTGCGCGCGCGCGCACGCATGGGCGCATGTGACATAACGAGACTAGGAGAACAATAAGTAAAGGGAGATGGTTGTAACTGTTTGGGGCTGCTTGGTTAAGTAAGCACAAGGAGAGGCTTGTGTATAGTCACTAGCTGGGAATGTGGAGACAAAGTAATCTGGTACAGTATGTGGGAGCGCTGTGGCCATTCTGTGTGGGTGCCACGCCCCTCCCCCAGCTGCCCCAGGAGACCTTGTGATCCCAGCTGGGTGGGTGGGTGCTCTTTCTGTGGCTCCTTCATTCCCTTCCCGGTCTCTGAAGTGAATGACAGAGGCCAGGCTCTCAGAACAGGCATTACTGTCATTTGCACGCACACACACACACCCCTTAACCCTTTCTCAATCTAATCGAAGTTAACGAGAGAGCCTTCGAAGGTTGTGATGGGAAAAGTCCTAGGACCAAGTCATACTTTCCTGGTTGGTTTGTTTGGTTTTTGGTTTTAGAGAATCTCGTGGAGCCTGGGCTGGCCTAGGACCCAACATGTAGTGGAGAATGGCTCCCAGTCTCCTGCCACAACCGCACAAGGGCTGGGCTTTACAGTACTACGGTTTCGTCCAGCTTCGTGGCTGTTTACAACGCTGACTTCTCGGGCCTGGAATCTGAGGCCTTACCTAATGTCTGTGAGCCCTGCAGGCTTCGGGGGAACCTGCCTTGTAGCTTTTGCCACCCACCTGCTTCCCAGCATTTCGGACTTAATGAATATTCATCAGCTAACTTTAGCATGCAGAGTTCCTGAAGAAGCTTTTGTGCTTCCCGTTCTGCGAGCGAGCGTATTTGTGAAGAGGATGTTACCCTAGTGTGCCAGTTCTCAGCGAAAGGAAAATTTTACGATCTCCCTTAGGTGCAGGAGGGACTTAAAGCCGTAATTAGTTCAGTCTTGAAAAGGAGTAAGACTGTGACGTTTGCTTTTTCCTTTGTTCATAAATGCCTGCCATATTCTTGCCTTCTGTCGCTTTTGTTTACTCTCTCTCTTCTTTCTTCAAGGTCTAAAATTGCCCAGGCTGGCCTCAAACTTGCTATAGAGCTTGTTATAGAGCTTGGGTTGGCTTCAACCCAAGATTTTTTTACCCCCGCCTCCCAAGTGCTGGGGTTATAGGCGTGAATCACCATGCCCCATCCACCTGCTCTTTCCAGAAGCCACGCTCCCTGCAAGCTGGGGATCGGGACAGTTACAGCTGTGACTCTGCTGAGCACACAGACTCGGAATCCATCCCTACAGGCACCTGCAGTTTTCCCCTCCACCGTCCCACAGAGGCCCGCATTTCCTTTTCTCCTCTGGGTCCGGATTATAGGTCAGAACGGGCCCATTCTGAAAGAGGTGTGCCGCCCCTCCTTGGAAACATCCCTTTCACCCTCGGCTGCCCCAGGCAGTCAAAGGTCCTCGCGTGCCTTCTTTCACACAGCCTCCAGTCAGGCATGACAATGCTAACCCCCCCACCCCACCCCACATCCCACCCCACCCCTGCCCTCCAGCGGCGGCATAGCTGAGAGGGTAAAGCCAAGTAGCCAGTTCACCTGGAAACACGTCATCCTGATCAGAACGGCGGCGGCCAATCTCGGAGCTTTAGAATCACCTGGCAGCTAAGTCAGACCGTCTGGGGCAGGGGACCTCGGGTCTCCCGACACGCAGCTGGGGCGGACTGTCTTGCCGCAGGGGCCAGCGGCTGCCGCGATTATCAGTCACTCCAACCAGGTCTCCCCATTTCCCTCCTGCCTTTCCAACACGGTAAATTCTAAACACGGCACCCAGGGGCTAGGGTCGTAATAATGGGCTGTGGAGGAGGGTCGGAGAGGAGGGGTTGACGTGGGGTGGCGGGGGTGGGGAGGTGGGGGGAAGGAGAGGACTTGATGGATACACCGAAAGCACTTTGCCCTGGAAACTGCGCTCACTCGGCTCTGGAAACAGCGCCCCGGAAGTCTCCTCGCCCTTCCCTCGACTTCCAGGGTGGGGCAAACCAGCATAACCATCCCTTTGTTAACGATCGACCGAGGCTGGCCTGCGCCTGGTTCCCGGCCGCCAGGGGCACGTGCATGCCTACGCGCGTGGGGATGGCATCTCTCTGGCCTGTTGGCCGAGCTGTGCAGGCGAGCGCCGGCGCCCTCTGCTGGACCGAAATAGATGCCCCCCCCCCCGAGTGTAACCACTGTGGTCTGAGGATGAGCTAATGGGTTCAACATTGAGCTCGCAGAAAGGACACGGGCGTCGTGGGGACCCCCCCCGGGGCGGCCCTCTGACATCCGGCGGACCACTGGCTCGCCTGGGGATGCTATTTCTTCGATTGGCTGGGGGAGCGGGGGACGTGGGTGGGGTGGAGGGGAGTAAGAGCATGAAGAAAATTGGAAGGTATTGGCCGGGAACCCGAGCGCTGTGTTTCTCTGTCTTTGGGGCGTGTGCGTATTATGGTGCATGGTATCGGCCGACCGGGCGGTGTAGGGTAAAGGAGACTCGGACACCGGGGTGTAGCCCCCACTGGCTAAGAGAGCAACGCGTTTAGAGGCGGAATTGTTCCAAGAATCCCATCTATGTCAGAAAGGCAAGGAAAGGCATAAGCAATTGAAAGACGTCATTTTTTTTTTTTTTTGAAAGGCATCAGTCAAGACAAAAATCCTCTCTCTTTAAGGGATCTACTCGCCCTGGGGAAGATTGGATGGTACTCACGGACTGGGGCCTCACACCCGCATCTTCGCCGGCGAGAGCTTGCCTCCCTCCCCAGCTTGGCTGGTGCTCAGGACACAGGTGCTGCTGCTGTTGTGGCTGCGCGCATCCTAACGGCGGCCGCTCCGCCTTCCAGCTCGACCTCCCGCCAGAGGTTCTCACCCGGAGGCCCCAAGGCACACCTCTTTCATGCTTGTGCCTCCCCTCGCGGTCGCGGGGTCCGGAGCAGCGAGGGAGGAGTGGAGAACCGGGGGTTTGCGTCGGCTGGGGCTGACCGTCCTCACCGCTGCAGCTCAGCTAGGGCTGCAGAAAGTCAGTGCAGTGGCGGAGCTGGCTAGGGCTCCTCGCGGTTGCCACGGTAACCAGGAGCAGGCGCCTGCCCCGGTGGCTGAGCAAAGCTGTAGAGAAAAGGTAAAGGAGAAGCGATGACGCGTTGGCCTGTCTCCTGGGTATCGGCTGAGCCTCAAGCGACCCAAACCAAACCACGCCACCCCTGCTGTCTTTTCTCTCTCTCTCCTCCGCTCCCTCCCCAGTCAACACACACAGGAACATCTTAAGGACTAAAAATTCCAGCACTATCTGAGGCTCCCTGCCCTAGAGGATCCTGCTGTACACAGGGCGGAATGTTTGCTAGGATCGCTCTTGAAAACAGAACTCCCAGCGGGCGACAGCTCTGCGGATGAGCTCAGAGAAGCCGGAGAAGGGACCAAGCAAAGGATGGTGATGAGCAAGCCACTTCATCTCTTTATGGCCATAAAACTAAGTGATAAAATACCTCGAAATTCTAAACCCTGAAAGATTTAACACCTTAACCATATGGTTATCCTGTAAAATAATTCGGTTTTCTTTCTTTCTTCTTAAAAGGCAAGTGTCTCATCAAATACATAAGGCTGGCCTTGAACTTGCTGTGTGTTTATAGTTAAGGGTGATTTTGAACTCCTGACCCTCAAACAAACAAAGGCAACAACAAAATACTAGGGAGAAAAAAATTTTAAGTGAGGAACTGGGGAGGCAACTCAGTATGTGGGGTGGGGTTCTTACCCAGTATTCGTAAGGTCCTGGGGTTCTATAATCCAACAATGGAAAACAAAACACTAAAATAAAAATAAATAAAATGAAAGTGTACTTCAAGAGTCGATCATCCCAGGTGTAGCGTTACACACCTTTAATCCCAGCACTTGGGAGACAGAAACAGGTTTTTATGAGTTCAAGGCAGGCTTAGTCTCTGCCTAGTGAGTTCCAGGACAGCTGGAGCTGAATAGTCTCCAAACCAAACAGTAGCGCAAAGGACTAAAGCAAGGCTTAGTGATTAAGAGCACTGATTGCTCGTCCTGAGGAGCTAGGTTTTATCCCTAGCACCTACATGGTTGCTAATAACCATCTGCAACCCCAGTTCCGGGGGATCCGATGACCTCTTCTACTTCCACAGACAATGGCATGCACACAGTACACAGACATACGTGCAGGCAAAACACCAAAAACATAAAAAGTCTAGAGAGAGAGAATAGTTCAAGGGGGCTGGTAAGGGCTCAGCAAGGAAAGGTGATTGCTGCTAAGACTTGACAGCCTGAGTTTGATTTCCAGGACCCACATGGTAGGAAAGAACACAGTCCCAAATCCTCTGACCTCCCAATACGTCTCATAAAATAAAAATAATTAATAAAAAACAATTAAACATAGACTAAGGGCAATTTCATAAAAGTCGTTCACAAAAGCTGGCCGCCTTCCATTATCAACTATAAAGCCCTGCAGGGCACGGTGACACACGCCTTTGATCTCAGCTCTTGGGAGGCAGAGGCAGGTGCATCTCATCTCTGTGAGTTTTAGACCAGCCTATTCTACAAAGCGAGTCCAGGACAGCCAAGGCTACACAGAAGAAACCCCGACTCAAAAAAAGAAACCAAACCCACCAACCAATCAAAAAACTATAAAGTCCTGCAATGTGGCCATTCGTACATCTCCTGGGATAATCCATTCCCATCCATTTTCCACATGGCATGGCTCTTTTGAAAATTATGATTTTATGCACACTGACAGAAGCATTTCCTATTACATGTTCCTTTCTCCTGGGCCTGCTTCTGTGTTGTTTTGGGCATATGGCATCCATTCCGCATGCTCTCATACACAGACCATGGATTTGGCAGAAACAAAGCTGACGACTGAGCAGCAGCAGTATTACCTAAGTGGCTTCTTGTCCTACTGTGCACGTAATTATTTTCCAACCAGTTGGAAACTTGGCTGGCTTCTTCAGGCTAATGCAGCTTTTAATTCATTAAAAGCTTCTGGAATTTCATCAGCTGGATGAAATGCCAATGTAGAAATATGAGTTTGTTTTTGTTTTGTTTTGTTTTGTTTTTGAGACAGGGTCTTTCTACATAGCCTTGGCCATCCTGAAAATCATATGTAGACCAGGCTGGTCTCAGACTCACAGAGATCCACCTGCTTCTGCCTCCCAAATGCTGGGGTTAAAGGTGTGAGCCACCATGCCTGACATTTTTTTTTTCTGTTCTTTTAAAGACTGAGTCTGTGTACCCAGGCTGATCCCAAAATGAGTTTTCTTGCCTCTGCCTGGTGAGTGCTGGGCAAAATGAAGCTTATTTACATGGAGTTTTCATATCTCTTTCCTCAGTCACCTGACTTCACCAAATGCATTGGGCTGAATGTGACAGAAATAAACTTTATTGATAATACCTTGAAATTCATTTACCAAATGCTTGCTCACACCTAATTCGAAATATATCATTATGATTTGGAGATCCATTTGCAATGCTCGCTTCTTGTTTTTTTTCAAGAATTCAAACCTTCAAACACATTTATAAAGTGATTTACTGTATAGTCATTAATACATGATTAAGTAAATAACTTCCAGAATTTTCAGATCTGTGGGACATGAATTGTTTATATCTGATTAAAAAAAAAAAAAAACAGTGGGGACAATATTGGCCAAAGTGAAATGTGAGCTAGTTCTTCTATGTAAATTTGTTGGGAAATGTAAGAGTTCTATTTGCTTTGACATTCAAATTCCTAACTGAGAGAAGATAGCCTTTTACTATGCTTCACAGGAGGAGGGAGCCCGGTATCAGCTGGCGTCTTTGGTTCCGAAAGCCAGTGGGCCTGTCAAACATGTCTTATTCTTTTACAAGGTGCCTTTTTTGTTGTTGTTTTGTTTTTGTCAGTCTGTTTTGAGACAGGGTTTCTCTGTGTAGCCTTGGCTGTCCTGGACTCGCTTTGTAGACCAGGCTGGCCTCAAACTCAAACAGTGATCCACCTGCCTCTGCCTCCCCGAGTGCTGGGATTACAGGTGAGCGCTACTACGCCTGGACCTTCTTTCCTTTCCTTCCTTTTCTTTTCTTTCCTTCTTTTCTTTTTTCCTTTCTTCTTCTCTCTCTCTCTATTTCTCTTTCATTGTCTGTTTGATTATTGTTTCTGTTTTGAGACAGAGTCTCACTATATAGCCCTGACTGGCCTGGAACTTGCTGTGTAAACCAGGCTGGCCTCAAACTCTGAGATCTGTCTGCCTCTCTCTGCCTCTAGTGCTGGGATTAGAGATGTGCATTTGCACAAGTTTGTTTTTAGACAGAGTCTCCTGTGGTCAGGTTGGCTTTGAACTGCTGCACTTCCTGTCTCTACTTCTGAGGTCTTAGGCCTACATATACCTAAGGTTTTAATTTTAGGAATCTTGATCTCTGAGGATTTCAGCTTTCAGGATTTGGGCATTCAGAAACCATCGCCTCTTGGACTTCGATGTGCATTGGATGAGGTTTGGTTTTGTTTGTGTTGTTTTTCAAGGCAGGGTTTCTCTGAGGATTTTGTTTTTAAGGTCACTGACCTCAGACCTCAGTATTTCATCCAGTTGAGGCTCCATTGGAGAAAGAAGGTTCAGCCAGGACTCGGGAAAGGGCTGAGCCTTGCCTCGTGATCTTGCCTGTCCCCACTGGGGATTCTTCAGTTTTTACCATCGCACAGTGTTCCCTGTGCGTCCATAGGTGCTAGGGTTTGGAGCTGACAGGATTGGGGCCCAGGGGTCGCCACTCTGCGTCACTGTCCGTTCTCCCCAGGAACGAGCAGATGCTAAACTCTAGTTCTAGAACAAGAGAAGGGAACCCATCTTCACTACGCCCTGACAATGAGTCCCCCAGGCCTTTCTTGGTTCTGCCATTTAATCCTCTCGTCGGCCTATAAAAAAAAATTACATTTACTAATTACAGATCAAAGGCCCGAGGGCACACACGAGAAGTGACTTGCTTGTGAGTGAGTCACTTTTATGCAGCAGGGTGACCCTAGACTACAGCTAAACCTAGAATTCTTCCCCACGCCAGCTCACTGCCACAGCTGGAGGTACCACTGAGCCATCCAGGCATGGCCCCAGAGAATACTGAGGAAAGTCCCTGCAACATCTGGAGAATCTCTGATCATTCCTCTTCCTTTCCTCATGACTTTCATTTACTTCCCTTAGCTTCTTTTAAAATTAAATTTGAGCCAAGATTGGTGTCGCATGTCTTTAGTCCCAGCACTTGGGAGACAGACTTTCCAGAAGTCCAGGGTCAGTCTAGTTTAGCAAGTTCCAGGCCAGCCAGGGATACATAATGAAATCTGTCTCTTCCCTAAAAAAAGGTAAAAATGAAAAAAAAAAATCTTAGAAAATTTTGCAACTATAGAAAAACAGCTGGGCATGGTTGTATACACTTGGGAGGTGCAGGCAGGAGGATCAGAAGTGTCCCAGCACTCAGCAGCAGCAGGAGCATTACCACAAGTTCCCGGTCAGCCTGGTCCATGTGGAAATGCCAGGAAAACCAGGGCTACACAGTGAGGAGAGAGAGAGATCATGCATAACCCTTCTACCCAGAGAAATCCAAAATTAATATTCACATTGCCTTCTAGTCATTTCTCTTGCTTTCTATATTTTAATTAAATTGCAGTAAGACTCTACATTTGAATACATGGGAATGTACACACACACACACACACCATATCTTGGTTTTAGTTTAAAATAACTGTAGGAAAAAAAAAGTTTCTTTCTTTAAACGTTCTTTGAAAATTATTTTATTATTTATTAAAGATTTATTTTTGTCATTTTAAAATTATGTGTGTGTGTGTGTGTGTGTGTGTGTGTGTGTGTGTGTGTGTGTGTATGTACATGGGGGTGTAGGTGCCTGTGGAGGCCAGAGGTGTCAGATTCCCTGGAGCAGGAGTTACTGTCAGTTACAAGCTGCCAGGTGTGTATGCTGGGAACTGAACTCTGCATGCTCCTAACTGGTAAACCATCTCGCCAGCTCCTATCTCATTTCTTTATTGTAGAGGAATTTTAATTCAGAACATAGCCACTTGGAGAATCTCTGATCATTCCTCTTCCTTTCCTCATGGCTTTCATTTACTTCCCTTAACTTCACATCCAACATGGTCTGTGTGGTCTGGCTGGAGTACAGACACTCCTTTAATCCCAGGAGACAAGCAGGTCTCTGAGTTCAAGGCCAGCCTGGTATAAATCAAGGTTCAGGTAAAGAAAAGCTTAGGTTCAGGCCTGGTGGTACACGCCATTAGTCCCAAACAATGAAGGTAAAGATAGCTTGTAGAGGGAAGCACCAATGTTTGAAAGTGATGTCTAACTGAGTGGCAGAAATAGTGATCAATCAGAGAAGATTTGACAGAATATGATATGCCCAACTCTCACGAGAAGAGAGAGGAAAGGGAAGCTACTAAATGGGTATGCAGAATGAGGGAGAAGGCAGTTTTACAGAGAGCAGTTGAATGAGATAACAAGCTAGACACAGGTGAAGACTTAATGAGCCAGAGAATAAGAAGGAGCCAAGAGATTAGAGCAGATTGCTGGAGATAGTTTGGAGCCAAGCAGAGCGATTCAGGGGCCAAGAGAGAAGCCAGATTGAATAAGCCAGATGGAAGAGTTTGAGCCAGAACAGCTGAGTTGAACCAGGCAGCCCAGAGCTCAGTAAGAGCTAGAGAGAGTGATCTTATTAAGCAGTAAGTCTCAGAGGCTGAAAACATTCTAGGCCTAGATTAGATTGTATGGAGGCTAGAAGCTTCTAGGATTAGGCCTAGGTTAGAAGAAGAAGGCAGTAAGCCTCGACGACAACTGAAACAGGCAAATAAAAGTTACTTTTACAATTTATATGTTATCTTTGGTTCATTTTGGGGAATGGAACCCAGGGCCTCGTGGAAGTTAAGCCCTGGATCCACTGCTAAGCACAGGTCCCAGGCAAGCTGTTGTTTTCTATGATATGCATGTATATAATATAGGACACATTGTATTTTACATATCACATTTTATAGGAGGCAGAATAGAAAGTGAGAAAACTATGCAGTCACAGCAAAAGAAAGGAGCCCCTCATCTTGGAATCTGCTTCTCTTGCCAGCTGAGAATCAAGAGTTCTGGTATGATTAACATCACGATGAAGACTGCTGACATAGAGATATAATATTCTTTTCATAATGACAATGAACCAGGCGTAAGTACTGAATATATATGATTGTGGGTAGGCTCTTGTATTAGTTACTGTTCTTATAGCTGTGATAAAACTTCACAAACAAGGCAACTTAGAGAGGAAAGGATTTCTTTGGGCTTATTGTTCCAGAGGGCTATGAGGCCATCATAGCAGGGAATCATGGGAGCAGGCAGCAGGGACAACTGAGAGGTTTTATCTCATACCTCAAGCAGGAAGCAGAGTGAACTGAAACCTCAAAGCTTGCTCCCACTGACACACTTCCTCCATCAAGGCCACACCTCCTAAACCTACCCACAGAACACCAATGACTGAGGACAAGTATGCAAATGCCCGAGCCTATGGGGGACATTCTTAATCAAACCTCTGTGGGCCCCATTCCTTTTCTCAGACATTCTCTGGGGATCACAAACAAGACAATGAGACTGGTCTGTGGTGAAGATGCCTTAGCTTCCGCATCCCTGGTCTGGACTTTACTTGCTCCATTACAGTCTTACCCCTCAAGAGCCAACCTATCATTTCAATTACCTTACCTTAGTAACCCTTGGAAGATATAGCTTCAGAACCCATCCAAATCTCATGTGTGACTAAGGGAAAGGCAATGCAGTATGACTCTCTCTCAGAGAAATTCACACTCATGCTCTGGTATTTTTTTCCCTTAGCACCTCTTTATTTCTCTCAACTACTGGGCTTAAAGCCTACACGAACCCCAACTCTGCTCCACAATGGCTTGTTCTGCCCGCCTTTTGTTGCAGTCCCTAAAATATAAAGGGAGTCCTCAAGTTTTCAGGTGCCAGCATGGAGTTATGTTTTGTGTCTCTGTCACAGCTGATGTATAGTATATATGTTTGTGTATGTGTGCACATATGCCTAATTTCTCTTCTATTAGGTATTTATTTCCAATTTTTATTGGTAGCAGACAAACAAGAATAACACCTTCCACCCCGAGTCTCCATAATTCTTGAATATGTTTGCACATATTTCTTTGTGATGGAATCCTAAAATATTTGGTCAAAGAAAATATCTTTTTTTTTTTTTTTTTTTTTTGGAGACAGGATCTCTAGCCCAGTCTGTCCTTGAACTCACTAAGGATGACCTTGAACATTTCTATTCTTGAAGTGTCCATCTCCTGAGTTGTATGATTACTGGCATGTGCCACAGTGCTGGTTTATGTAGTATTGATAGATAGATTGTACCGAACTTAGGCACTGTGGGAGACAGGACCTGCATTCTAATGCCAACCCAAACCATTATTTAAAGTGATATATAATATTGTGCTGGCTAGTGTTATGACAACTTGAC